CTCACTTTCTCACACACACCAACGAACGCACGCACACGCACGCGCGCGAACGCACGCACCCACACACACACACGCACACGCGCACGCACACGCACGCACACACACACACACACACACGCGGAAGAATATACGATACGCATCAAATACCACTCGCATATTACACTGCCCTACACACAAACCCCTCCTACATTTAGCGGACACCAGATGGCGCTAGCTACCAACCTGGCTCAGAGGCGCATATATAGAGACTTTACTCTCTCTATATACGGCTCCGACATGACTCTACATATGCTATGGCTGTTGTAGGAACTCCTGGTAACTCAGGGCGGCAGTGCGATTGGCAATAAGACTGACAACAGGCGAACAATGACCCTATACATGGATGAACGTGATAACAACCACACGTAACGCATAAAAGCCGGCGGGGAAAGCTTATATTCTCGCGCATACGAGCAAAAAACGCGCCTAAGAATCAAATCCAGACTCCGCTCGTGATCACGCGCCACGCAGTCACGGACTATTATTGATATTTCTCACACACTCGGCAGACGAGTCATGCGCTAAGCTTAGCTGCGCTGCTCGTGCGTATCTGTAGCCTCGGGACATTCCGTACGCTGTTTCCTTACACCGCTTCTACTACTAGTACTACTGCTACTGCTGCTGCTGCTACTGCTGCTGGTGTTGCTGCTACTGTTGCTGCTGCTACTACTACTACTGCTGCTGTTGCTGCTGGTGGTGGTGCTGCTGCTGCTGCTGCTGTTGCTGCTACTGTTGCTGCTGCTGCTGGTGGTGGTGCTGCTGCTGCTGCTACTATTCGGTAGTGTCTTACGGGCGGGGTTTCGACTATGCTCCTCTGTTTTTAAAGCTGGTATTATGTGTGAGCAGCTGTAACATAGCAGTGTAGTTTTTTGTAACCATTATCTCAACAGATACAGTATTAACTAGACAGAGGGCACTCACGGAGAGTGCATACCTCCGCCAGCATGTAACATGTATGTGTATAACAGCTAGCTCGCTGCTGGCTGCTGCTGACTGGACGCCCAAAGGCGAGCTGCTGCTGACTGGACGCCCTAAGGCGAGCTGCTGCTGACTCGGCGCCCTAAGACGAGCTGCTGCTGAATCGATCGCGTGAACACTAGTGGCTACACACACACACACGAACACACACACGAGACCGATTACATTACCTCCTTGGCGGAGGTAACAACACAACAATGAAAAGCCAAAACGATCTGCTTAATAGGTGTAGATTTAATATTTATTTCACTGAAGGTAGAAAGTGCACATCTTGCAGGTAAGATACGATTCCGTCTCATATCCAATCTTCGCGCATAAACAACATGATTTAAAGAACACAGGCACACCGCAAAGGTGTTTATATGCTAACAACACACGCACACCCACACGCGCGCGTAATCATGGATTTTCTACAACACACACACAAACACACACACACACACACACACACACATGCAACAATGCACGCACACGCGCGCGCGCACTCACACTAATGCATACGATCAAAATAATATACTATACACACGCACACGTCGCCGCTGCACACACACGCGCGCAATGACGCACATACACATGCGCGCACGCACACACACACACGCACACACCGTAACACACGCACCACAAATGTACGAACGCATACACACAGATACAGATACTAGACCGAATTGAAGGGTAGAGTCGTTATTATACACAAACTAAAACGCTCACACATTGCTGGGAAAACCCCACAAAAAAATTCATCGTATATATGTTCTGTAGGTGTCGCCACCCGCGTTCCAATGCCTAGTTTGACAAGAAAGGGTCTGCACGCACACGCACGCACACGCACGCACACACGAGAGAAGAAAACTGAAACGGCAGTTAAAGCTATACAATCATAAGGAGATGATGTGAGAACACGGTACAGATGGGTATCCGTACACTAGAGCCAAAAAAGTACAAGAGTGCAAATGCGAATTCTAAAACCACGATCGCAATATACAGAACATGTTTGAAGGACCCACGAATTGACCCGAGCGCGTGTAACCTTCCCACTCCCCTCCCCCTCCCACTCCCCCTCCCCGATTGCATCACGCACGTGAGAAATAGTTTCGGGGATAGTTCGAACTCTGAGAACAAAAAAAACAAAAAAAACAAGGAAAACCATCTCGCGTTTCGAATAAATAACTTCAGCCGTTCCGACCACTACTGCGCATGCGTCCCGTCAGCGTGTTCGCGGAAACAGCCGGAAACACGCGACCATCCCCGAAACACCACCGACAACTGCATCAGGTGAGAGAGAAGGAGAATGAAGGGGGAGTGTGTGTGTGTGAGAGAGAGAGGGGGTAGAGATGAAGGAGGAGAGAGAGAGAGGGGGTAGAGATGAAGGAGAGAGAGAGAGGGGGTAGAGATGAAGGAGGAAAGAGAGAGAGAGAGAAGGAGAAGTATTGAGTAGAGCCCCAGCTACACAAGTGAATCCCTTCCTCTGACACAAACACACTCCGACACGCACGCACGCACGCACGCACGCACGCACCATCTAGGAAATAAACGACGGCCTAACGATCCGACTATATCCGATATTAAAACCGGCCAATGCGAATCCAACCGCAATGAGATTTTTGCCAGCAGTACTCTCTCTCTCTCTCTCTCACTATAGGCTGTGTTGCCTGTAGTAGGCGACCGTCCATCTGTCGGACATAGCCACCGTGGGAATGCATATATCAATAATACCTGTATAGTGTGCGTGCGTGCGTGCGTGCGTGCGTGTTCCCTGCACTCTCCCCTCCCCATCTATCCACCCCCACCTATCTTCATTACTTACTCTCCATCCACCTTTACTTATAGCACCAAGTGCACGACTGTGTTAGCACGACGCCGCCGCGACATACAGAGAGGGCGAGGGCACGGGCGGGGCGACACCATTGCACTCTATGGGGGGAGGGGGCGGGGCGACACCACTGCAC